CTGCTCCCTTCATGGTTTCCCCCAGCTGAAGCTGACCCTTCCCCCGAACACTCAGGCTGTGTCTACATTGGCAAAATCTTGCCGCCTGTCTACACTGGCCGCGAGTATTTGTGCAAGAACACGGACGTTCTACTATATGAAATCCGTGCTTCTTGCGCAAATGCTCTGACGCTCCCGCTCAGGGATAAGTCCTCTTGCGCAAGAGACCAGTGTAGATAGGTAACATCAATTTCTTGCACAAGAAAGCCTGATGGCTAAAATGAGCGTCTACACTGGCACGGATGCTTTTGCACAAAGGCACATGCCAGTATAGACGCTCTCTTACTCAAACACTCTGATGCAAAAACTCTTGCATTTAGAGTATTTGCGCTAAATCTTGCCAGTCTAGATGTAGCCTCGCTTCCTTTGTTCAGTCCCTGCCCTCAACAGGTAGGACCAGTTGGGTCTTTGTGACCTCAGGTGGCCCCCTCTTCCTGGGCAGTGCTTACGGACACAGGCCAGTAGGGGTCACCCACAGCCCACACACAACAACCAGTGAATGCCTGTCCACTACGGCCCATCTCCCCCCTGCGAGAGCGAACTGAGCGGGGGGAAGTTCGGGTCCCCCCCATGGGACAGCGCATCTGCGATGATGATGGCGTTCCCCTTGACGTGGGTCACTTCCATGTCGTCATCCTGCAGGAGCAGGCTCCACCTCAGCAGCTTGGCCTTCGTCCCTTTCATCTGGTGCAGCCAGGTCAAGGGGCAGTGGTCGGTTACACCATGAAATGCCGGCCAGACAGGTACGGCTGCAGCTTTTGAAGGGCCAGATATTCCTTCTCTATGGCCATGTAGCTCCGCTCCCAGGGCAGCAGCTTCCTGGTCTGGTACATGATGGGGTGTCGCTCCCCCTTCTCGTCCACCTGCATCAGCACCGCCCCCAGCCCAGTATCCGAGGCATTGGTAAACAAAATAAAGGGCTTGTCAAAGTCTGGATTGACCAGCACTGGGACCTTGACCAGGGCCTCCTTCAGTGCACAGAGAGCCCCCTGGAACTGCTCCGTCCAGACCACCCTGTCTGGAGCTGAAGTTGGGCACAAACCTCCCGGATGGCCTCCACCTTGGCCGGTTCTGGCTTTAAGCAGCCGCTCCCCACCTTATGGCCCAGGTAGGACACTTCAGCCAACCCAACCTTGCACTTCGCAGCCTTTACAGGCAGGCCAGCCCCCCGCAGCTGGTCCAGCACCTGGCTGACCTGGGCCACGTGGTCCTTCCAGGTCTGGCTGAAGACACAAATATCATCAATGTACACCAGGGCAAAGCTCTCCATCCCCCGCAGCAGCTGGTCCACCAGGCGCTGGAAGGTCATCAGTGCCCCTTTGAGGCCAAAGGACAGGACCAGGAACTCCTAGAGCCCCAGCGGGGTGATGAATGCTGATTTCAGCCTGGCCTCTGGGTCCAACAGCACCTGCCAGTAGCCCTTGGTGAGGTCCAGGGTGGTGAGGTAGCGAGCTCCCCCCAGCTTGTCCAGGAGTTCGTCAGGCCTAGGCATGGGGGCGGGCATTGGATATGGTGATGGCGTTGAGCTTCCCATAGTCCACACAGAACTGGATCGACCCATCCTTCTTGGGGACCAGAACTACTGGAGAGGCCCAGGGGCTGGATCCCCCCTAGCGCCAGCATGTCCCGGACCTCTCTCTCCAGGCCCTGGGCCGTCTTCCCCGTGACTCTGAACGGGGAGCAGCACACCAGGGAGTGGGTGCCCATCTGTACCCGGTGGACACCAGCTGCTGGCGGGAGCCCAGCACCTCTAAGACCTCGGCCTGCTGGGCCGGGGTGAGCTGGTCCGAGAGGGAAATTGACTCCAGTGAAGAGTCTGCTCCAGTTCCAGGGAACAGCCCCACCAGGGGATCCTCCTCCTGTTCCGCCCAGGGCCCGCACACGGCCAGCACTAGGTTCTCTCGGCCCCAGTACGGCTTCATGGTGTTAACGTGATTCACCCACTGGCTGCGCGTCCGGCCCATCAGCTCCACCACGTAGTCACCTCGTTCAGCTGCTTGGTGACCTTGAAGGGTCTGTCCCAGCCTGCCTGCAGCTTGTTCTTCTGCACAGGGATTAGGACCATCACCTGGTCCCCGGTGGCATAGGCGCGGGCCCGTGCGTTGTGGTCGTACCCAACCATCCGCTTTTCTTGGGCCCTGCCCAGCTCTCTGTGGCTGGAGCTGTCTTAGGACCATCACCTGGTCCCTGGTAGCATAGGTGCGGGCCCGTGCGTTGTGGTTGTACCAGACCTTCTGCTTCCCCTGGGCCCTGCTCAGGTTCTCTCTGGCCAGGCCCACGAGCTCAGTGAGTCTTTCCCGGAAAGCCAGGACGTATTCCATCACCGACTCACCCTTTTCTCTGAACAGGTCCAGGGGGGTCCCCTCACCTGCCTCCCGTATAATAGCTTGAACGGGGAGAACCCTGGGAACTCCTGGGGCACCTCCTTGTATGCAAACAGCAGGTGGGGTAGGTACTTGTCCCAGTCCTGTGGGTGCTGATGCATAAAGGTCCTTAGCATCTGCTTCAGAGTCCCGTTGAACCTCTCCACTTACCCGCTGGTCTGGGGGTGATATGCTGAGGCCCAGGTGAGCTGGACCCCACACTTCTCCCACAAGCACTGGAGTGGGGTCGACATGAAGTTGGATCCCTGGTCCACGAGGACCTCCTTGGAGAACCGCAGGGACAGCAGTGCATCTGCCACCATGTTTGCCTCGATAGAAGGTAGAAGCACGGCCTTGGGGTAGCGGGTGGCAAAATCCACCACCACCAGGATGTATTTTTTCCCTGTCCGGGTCGCCCTGCTGAAGGGTCCCATAATATCCATCGCCACCTTCAGGAAAGGCTGCTCTATACAGGGTAGGGGCCTCAAAGCAGCTTTCCTCCTATCTTGGGCCTTCCCCACCCTCTGGCAGGGGTCTCAGGACCGGCAATACCGCTGCACAGCGGCAAATATCCGGCCAGTAGAAGTGTTGGAGCAGCCGCAGCCGGGTGCGCCAGATCCCCTGGCGTCCCGAGAAGGGGATGTCATGGGCCAGGTACAGCAGCTTGCGGTGATACTTTTGGGGCACCACCAGCTGCCACTGGAGCCCCCACCCCCTCACCTTCCCTGGGGGAAGCCATTCCCGGTACAGGAATCCCCGCTCCCACAGGAACCTCTCCTGGCAATCTCCTCCTAGGGGCTGAGCTGTGCCCACGTCGGCCCAATCCCTCAGGGTCTGCAAGGAGGGATCTGCCTGCACTTCAGACTGTAATTCAGCAGCTGGGCCAGAGACAGGGACTTGTTCCCTGCCACTGCCTGGATCCAGAGTCCCAGCTCGGCTGGGCTCCGTGTCTGCTGGGATGGGGCCTTGAGCCCCCTTCAGGGAGCCCTCCCCTGGGTCAGGGTCACCAGTCTGTCTCTGGCTACGAGTGGTGACAAGGGCCCTTTGGGGTCCATCTGGCCACGCCTCTAGGTCCCACCCCCCCATCAGCACCTCCATGTGTAAGTGCTGGTGCACCCCCACTTCCTTGGGGCCCTTCTTAGCACCCAATTTCCGATGCACCCGGGCTACGGGCATCTTAAACGGGGTCCTGTCTATGCTCCTTCAAGGTCAGCTGAGTGTTGGGCACCGGACGGTCTGGTGCTACTATCTTGGGCTGGACCAGCTTCACCTCCACCCCTGTGTCCCAGAAACCCATCACTTTCCTGCCATCCACCTGCAGGGTCACGAGGCGCTCGCTCCGCAGGGGCCGCCCTGCCCCCAACCGGTTCACGGAGACACCTGCCTCTGGAGTGTCAGGTTTCTGGGAGGGGTTGGCCGGAGCTGCCTTCCTCCTGCTTTGAGTTGAGGTTTGCCTACAGGCCCCTGCCTCTGGGGCGGCCTGCCCTTCTCCCAGCTTCAGCCACTTAACCCTGAAAAGTCTGAAGTTGTGGGACCTGTCCTGGTGCCTGGTGCACTGAGCCTTCTTGTGGCCTCTTTTTCCACAGCGATGGCAAGTTAGGACCTGCGGGCCCCTTCAGGCCGGCTCCACCCGGGCCCTGGCTGTCTCTCTGGGGGGCAGATGGCTGGGCCCTTTCTCTTGGGCTCACCCCGAAGATGATTTCCTCCATTGCTCAGCCAAGAACTGGTCCCTGCCTGATTCCCTTTCTCTCTGGGATGCCCGTTCACACCTGGACCAGCTGTCCGTGGACTCATCCGCCAGCCTTCCGGTTTCCTGGGGGCCCTCTGGCTTCCGGTCTCTGAGCCACAGCCTCAGGTTGGGCGGGCACGTTTCATGAAACTGTTCCAGCATCATCAGCTTAAGCAGGTCCTCTGCGGTCTGGGCTCCGACTCCAGACACCCACTTGCGGCAGGATTGCGCCAGGCGGGAGGCCAGATCCTCATAGGTCTTCCTTGGCTCCTTTTGCACCCCCAGAACTTCTTCCTGTTCGTCTTGGGGGTCAGCCTGAACTTGTGCAGCAGGCCTCTTTGACCTGTTTGTAATAACCCGGCTGTAGATTCTGCAGCTGGTTGAGCACCTGCGGCCTCCTGATCCAGCAAGGGGGGAGCAACAGCTGAGGGGTCAGGGACTGGTGGGGGGGGCCACTGAGGGGGCAGGAGGTGGTGGGGGCGGCAG